TAATAATATGGATGTCGAGGATCCATGGAATCAAAATGACTTTAAAAATAGTATATAAGATTGAGAAAATAGAAGAAAAAATAAGTTGAATGATAGATAATAGAGATGTGATGAGTGATGGTAAGAGTTGGGGTATTTATAGAGATTTTAAAATTTTTAATTAATTTTTTTTTTTTTTAAATAAAGTTAAAAAATTTGAATTTTTAAACTTTTTTTTTAAAATTATAGCCATTAAGGCACTGTTTGGTACTGTAGAAACAGTGCCTTAACGGCCAAATACACTATTTGGCCTACTCATTTAAAATTTAAAGAAAATTTTTTTTTAAAAAAAAAACCAAATTTTAAGGGAAAAAACAAAAAAAAAGAAAGGTAAAATTTGAATTTTTAAACTTTTTTTTTTAAATTATAGCCGTTAAGGCACTGTTTGATACTGTAGAAACAGTGCCTTAACGGCCAAATACACTATTTGGCCTACTCATTTAAAATTTAAAGCAAAATTTTTTTTTAAAAAAACCAAATTTTAAGGGAAAAAAAAAAAAAAAAAAAAAAGAGGTAAAATTTGAATTTTTGAACTTTTTTTTAAAATTATAGCCGTTAAGGCACTGTTGCCTTACAGCCAAATACACTATTTAGCATACACATTTAAAATTTAAAGCAAAATTTTTTTTTTATAAAAAAACTAAATTTTAAGGGCAAAAAAAAAAAAAAAAAAAAAAAAAAGGTTTTTTAATATAATTTTGGCCTAATTTTTTTTTTTTTCGACAAACAATGTCTAAACAATATATATTTTATTTAATGAATTTTATTTAATTTTTTTTCCAAAAAAAAGAGCTCTAAATAACCTATTTTTAGGTTTTTTTTTTTTTTTTTTTAACAGGCACTGTTTGGCGCACTGTTACAGCAGGACAAAAAACAAAATACAGCCTTCTTGCAAACGACGCCGTTTTAGCGCAGAAAAGACACAAAAAAAATTTCCACGATCGCGGGCCGGCTCTTTGAATACCGCGAGCCAACCCGCGAGCCTAAAATCGGCCCTACCTGTTTGAAGAGCCCGCTGTAAGAGAGAAAGCTCGTATGGCTCGCGAAAAATGGGTTCCGCTAGTGGGCTGCGGATGGCCTAAAAATGTAAAAGTACCATACTATATTATATATATATATATATTAAAATAGTCAATACTAATTTAAAAGGTGAAATGCTTGGACACCCCTCAAATTTGCTTTTATTACTCGTAGACTAAACTGAAAATCCTGAACCACCCTGTCAAAGTTAGCAGCCGTGTATTTTTATTTAACAATTCATGTGCTTTTACTGTTTTACCCTTCACTTTAATCCAATATTCTCTTACTTTTTATTTAAAAAAAAAAATCCATACCCCATACAAAAATTTACACAACCTTACCGGTACAAAACCTTCTGCTTACATCAAACTTCACGGTCTTCTCAACCTTCGCCAAGGTCACCTGGTTAAGCATCCAACAGTGGCGATTTTGATGTTTCTTATTCACAACCGCTTGATATATATGTACACGAATATTTGTGTGCAGGCGGCCTGGATTGACAAAATCTTGAGAGGTTTTAGACAAACTTAAATGTAGGACCTTTTATACACAAGATTTTACACGCTTAAAAATGTATAAGAGTGCGAAATTTTTATTAAAATGAGAAGATAAACACATAAAATATATTAATGTTAAAACACTGTCTATGGTCTTTCAAATTCTATATTTGCCATCCCATATAATAAAGTAAAAAATATATATTTTCTTAACAAATGTTTAGTTCACTCACACCGGATAGATAAGCTCAAGAGTTAGAATAATATCACGTTAATTTAAACTCCTTTTTTTTTTTTCAAGTTTTCAAATTGATCGAGTTTAGAACTTTTAAATCATTCTAAATTTCTGAAAAAAAATTGTAAAATTTTGCCGAAATTCTTATCAACTTCAAATGATTTCAAACTTAAACCCAAATATTTCCCTTTTATATCAAATCAATTATATACGTAAATACAGAACTAACTTATATTTATTCAAATTTGGTCAAAAATATATTATCTACCTCAATAATAAAGGACTGTATTCAATTTCAAAGTAATTACTGACATACATACATATTAACACATAAATTTAGTAAATAACCACATTTAATTTCATAATTAATTACTAAAATATGAACTAATATACACATTAGTAAAGGGCCATACTCATGTCTGTTATGTTAATTCAACTATGTTGAAGTGAATAGAGGAGTCTAAATAACATAGCTTATGAGAGAGGATTAATGATAAAAATAATACTCTTTGCCACAAGTGGAGCAAAACTTCTGCGTACCTTGAAAGAGGAAGGGTTAACCAGATCTAGATTACAAATCCTCGGTATAAAAAGGTTTTAACAAAAATAAAAATAAAAAATAATGTTTGTTGCCGACAAGCGTGAAAGGTTTTTGTGCCTTCATCCTTTTGCTCCCATCCCTGTTTTGGCTCCCATTTTCTGCTTAGTTGACGCAAATTTAATGTAATTAATTTCACGATTTAATTAAAATAATATTATCAAGAGAACTCTTCATAAGTTAAATATTCATGTTTAATCACCGGATCAAAAGATGTAGTATGTTATTTAAGTATATATGTAAAGGTTCAACATTGTTAAAATACAAATTAAAGACTTAAACTTTAGTTGGTATTAAACCGGCGTAGTGTGATTAGTAGAAGGTGTTACAAGATCCTTCACAAACGAGGCAATAATCATGTACTCATCAGTTGCCCTACGATCAACCTTAAACCTCATTAACTGGGGCATGTAGAGCCAAATAAAAGAGATGACCACAAAACCAATTGTTAGTAACCTTGAAATTGGGTGAGGCAAAGGCCACCTTGTGCTAAACTTCTCCTTTAAACGACGCTCCACCACCAAACACAATCCGTGAATCACAAAGAACCCCGTGACTCCCCATGTGGGCCTTACCCGGCACAAGTAGTAGATGTTAAGCTCATGCATAATGCCGGACCAAAAAATGTCCCCAATGTGGCAGCCATGGAGGCCCATTTCCGGCCCAAATTCGGCGCGAAAAGCCGCTGAATTGGACCGTATACAGTCAAACGCAAGATGTCTGAGGCCATGAGGTTCCACCTATGGCCCCAGAAATTTTGTAGTGAAGTGGAGAAGCACGGGTCATTGAAGGATGGCTCGAGCTCTGACCCTAGCATGGCTCGGGCAACCATCCCCACCATGGCTAGTTCGAATTCCACGCCAAAAAAGATGAACATACATACGAGAGACATTACAACTATTGGATGTAAATACTCCCTACAGTACGCATTCAAAAACACCAGAAAGGATAAAAGCAAAGCCTTCTTTAAAAAACTTTTGGGGGATGGGCTTCCTTTATTTGGTGGTGGGTTCATTTGGATCTTGATGGGGAGACAGGCAAGAGCAAGAAAACGGCCCAGAGAGAGTGATGGGTCAGAAAGTGGGCCCAAATCGAAAGCAAAGAGTAGGATTTTGGAGTTGGCAAGCCAAGTAATGAAGAAAACGGTTGGCAATCCAAGATTAATGGAGTGTAATTTGAAAGGGAGGAGTAGAAAGAGACACACAACTGGAAAAAATGTGATGAGTCTGGGTGTACCTTTTGGGATAATCTTTGCTGCCGTATAGCAGTAGTATATAGATACAAAAATTGAACCCCATACCATCATGAAATTGTTCATCTCACCTTCCATATATGCACTCTCTCTATTTGTGCTTAATATTTTTTCACGTTTGTGCTTATTTTTTGACTCAATACTTAAAGGGGATACCAATTTGGGATCATCTTTGAGTCTGTTAAGAGGAATGCCATGAAGTAACCTCTACATGAATAGAGTAAAATCCTCTTATTAAGTTGAGTTTGTTGGCTAGCTCCAACTGAGCCGATTCTCCTAAAGTCTATATGATGTCTCTTCTGCTGCTCACTGGCTCATTGTCCTAGCTCGGCTTATACGAATTATATGCATAAAATATTAACTAACAGAACAAACATGCCAAATGCACCTGGTCCAAGGCCCCAACCACCTCTGTTCATTGTTCATGGCATGTTTGGTTATATTATTCCAAGATGCACAAGTTTGGCGAACAATGTCTTTGTTATTATGTGTTTGATTCTTTCTATCTATCATGTTCCAAACTTTGACCTATATATATATATATAGGCGCACTACTGAGCGTTTATCGTCACTCTGAATACAAGGAGATAATGATATGGAACTTGAGATTAACCACTTTTGAATTGAGAATGTTGAAGAAAATGCTCTTTACCAAGATAATTGTATTTGTTGTGAACAAAACAAATCTGGTGTACCTTACCTAGTTACTTAAACCTTCTTCTTCTTCTTCTTTTTTTGGTATAATAATCTCGTGATCTTGGCTTTGTTTGGCACTGCATCTCTTGCTTTGTTTGATGTTTCTTTGTTCTTATTACATAATATATAGCTCAAACACATTGAGTGCTCTTTTGCACACATAAAAATTCTTTAAATCCTAGCCGAAGATCTCATCTTGTTGGGTCTAATCCCATATTTATGGAATCTAATTCCCTATTTACTTCCAAAATTAATCTCATAAAGTTGGAATGATAGCATAAAAATCACCCCAACTCTCAACCAGACTGTATAGGCTACTCAGTTCTCTCAACACTAGAAAAGCCAATAATGCACCATTTTGGCCGAGACACACAGAGTGACAGACACACCCAAAAAAACAAATGAATATATATATATATATATATATATATATGATGGTAATAAATAAAAAGGAGATCATAGCAACCCAGCTAGAAGAAAAGAATGATATGGAAGAAAGCAAAAGAAGTAACTTTGGCTAGCTTTATCAGAAGTTGCAGCGAAGAAAGAAAAAAAGATACAATTATTCAAGAAACTCTTTACAGATTGATTTCGACTTAGTGACCAATAAAAACTATAGTAACGTAGAACTAACTGATTTGCACACTCGGTCCCAAAGCAAGATAACGAACAAAGTAGCAAGACATGCCAAATCAAATTTATCGAAGAACATCCAACAAATTTGAACATATAGTTGCTGCTATTGCATTACACTCTTTAATAGTTTTGGCACAAATAAGAGAGTGAAATGAGATATGCTCTATGGCAAAAGAGTAACACTAAAGTATAATTCAAAGTTCCTGCCATTCTTTCCGGATATCAAAGGTGTAGTTGATCTCCAAGTAGCACTTGTTGTCATCATCAAGAAACTGTAAAAAGACAAAAGGAAAACACAGGATAAAAAAAAAAAAAAAAATGGATTAAATTCCCCTTAAGACAAAAAATAAATAAATATTAAAGAAATCTCTGATGCTGACACTCTTTAAAGGAGGATATAAATCCAAAAGGTTCAATGTCTAAACAATTGGTGAAGCTATAATTTGAATTCAAATGTCTGTCCCTCTTTTCAAATATGCCACATAATTTTGCAGTTTGAATTATTTGACGTGGTGTGGCCATAGTTTAAAAAATGTAACAGAATTTTAAATAAGCAGATACAAAAATAGAGGGTGGTCCCCTTAATAGATAGGAACCATTGTAGGGTCCCTAGCACATGAAAAGAACTGAGAGGACTGAGAGTTCATATGCCAATAGAATATGTATACAAGCTTTACACAATGAAAGAGATATATGATAATTTGACTAAAAAGTCTATAACCATAATGGTTGTAAATATATCAATTCTGTATCTCTTCTACAACACAATTTGTGTTTTAAAGAAGCAGCAATTGATAAGGAAACAAAGGGCAGTGTTCGATATTACCTTTGATCTAGCTGAATATGATCCTCTAGCAAAAAAACCAGATGGGGTTGTTTCTTCTGGCATTTCATGTGTGTAAGGTTCCAGCTGAGGACTGAAGGTTCCAAGCATTTCTTTTGCGCTGTCCACTGTAGATTAGGATTCATGTTAGAGAAAGCATTCAATTAGTCACAATAATTGAAGGTCTTATTCATTTGGCCGGCATAGACAGTGAAAGATAGAGAGAGCAAAAGAGTACCCTTGACGCCAGTTTTCCAAACTGTGTTGGTGTATTTGAAGCCTGATACGATGTTGTTGCAGACCTGAAATGTGAACTTCAAGCTGTAACGGCTACCTTCTTTCAAAGTAAACCACAAGCCTTTGGGATTTCCACACTCGGGAATTGGAAGAAAGATATCAGGTCTACCAGGGGATTTAATTGCAAGGCTCACAATCTTAACATCTGGTTCTAGAGTTTCTACAGTGTACAACAAATGACAAAAAGAATGTCAGCATTCACATGCTCAGGCTCGCATACTGTGCATAAATACACACAAAAGACACACATTGCACCATAACAATACATTGTAAAAATGCCTTATTTCAGCTGAAAAAAGAAGTAAATGCTCTAATAAAAAAAAAAAAAGCAGTTTTAGCATGCGTTTTCAAATCATTTCTAACATTACAAAAATGATATTTTTCAAACTGAATTTCTACAATTTCAGTCGCCTTGTATCATCATAAAGGCACTTCTTTTCAAAATGGTTCAAAATAGGTGAACAATATCTAGCTTGTGTATTCAGGTATCTTGACTTTAAATCAATAAATTCAATATTTATGGAGTATCATTTTGGTGAAAATCCCAAAAAGTAAAGTGAAAAAATGTATATATTCACTAATCAGTTGATGAAATGGGAACATTATTTCTGATTTCAAATTAACATATTTTAGAATAAATGTGTTGAATCAAAATTCAATATTTCTGTCACCATAGAATTCCTAAAGTTTACTTTAAGACAACTCAGACCGGACTATGGACTAAGAACAGTGGCTTCTGTTAAGAAAAAAGTATCCACAAAAGAATGCATAATTAATTGAATAATGTGAGAAAATATGTCAAAATCCAAGCTTACTGTCCCAACAAAATTGATATCTTTGTTTAGACTTTTTTTATTTTCCATGCTTCCTCATAGAGAGTATTATTCTTGGTCAGAATATAAAATATTTAGAAATTTAGAAGCTCAAGGGGCAAGACAAACAATATATTCTGGAAACTCAAGTTAGACTTTGAAAGATCTGATTTAGTAGAAGATACCGGACATAAACAATTTTTTTTTTTTTTTAAATTTAAACCTATATGGGTTGGAGTGGCGGCTTTGAAAATATCCAAGGATTTAATTTACTCTTCTTTATTTTCCCAGCAACCAAACAGAGTTCAAGGGGCCAAAAACAGAGGATGTGGATGATTACCTCCAACAGAATTAAAGTCCACACTCCCAAGAAGTTGTTCCTTCCACCTCCTCAAGCTCTCATCATCCTAAATTCTCAAAAAATCAAAAGAAACAAAAAAAATATATATAAATAAGGAAAGTACATTAATCAGCGAAGAACATGAAAAAAAAAATGTTTGTTCCGGAATCTCAATGCAAAAGGGTAAAAAAGAAAGAAGAAGAAGGAAAAAGAGTACCTTATCCTTCTCAATTTGTTCTTTAAGTGTGTACTGAGGACCCAAAACTAGATTGCCTTCCACATCTTCTTCATCCTCATCCTCAGTTGCATATATAGACCCCTCACTCATCTGTCTGCCGAACTTCTCACCTTGTTGATTAAGCTTCTCTGTAGGAGATTCTGATACTCTAGTACTGTCCTTTTCAGGATCGTCCTTGTTTTTGTCGAACCCCATGTCTTTGGAACTTGAAACAACTCCAACAACAGCCAAAGACATCAGCAAGAACAGTCCATTCAAATGTTCATACCAAGAATAGGCTCACCCAATTGTATCAGAGGAATAACAGAACTAACAAGAACACAAAAAGGAAAAGAACACACAGTACGAAAGAATTTCCCTTATGAAAACAACAACAAAAGAAAAAGGGTTAACCAAAAATATAAAATAAAATTACTTCTGACAAGATTGGAGAGAGACTTGGGTCAAAGAATCTCAGAAAGATGAATAAGAACCAAAAAAAAAAAAAAAAAATGGCGAATACCCAAAAAAGATTACCCTTGTGAGAAGAAAAGACAGCAAGAAAAGAGAGAGATGGGTTGTTCGTTGTTTGGGAGGGAAGTTGAATGAGGGAAGGAAATAGTCATGTGGTGATCCGGAATTGTGAATATAAAAGAGAGAGAGGGAGAGGGAGAGGTGGTGAGTTCGTGAAGGTCGTCACGTAGTTGCAAACCAGGATTCGAGGGGACTTTGGACATATGAGACAGCCTAGGATTGGTTGGAAGTTAGATACCGTTTTGACCCCTTCTCAATGGCTTACTTCTTGATTGGAATTATTTTGCATCAACCTGTCTCTGCACTCACGCATCAATCCTAGGGAAAATATACAAATTTTGGGTCTTTCAATTTTTGTTTTTTTCTTTTCGAAAGGGATTGTTAGGTCTTTAATGGTTTTATAATTATATCACATATAATCCTAATTCGGTACAATACGGTATGAATATTGTATTACATCTCACAATTCATAATTTTTTTTTGTTTTCTCGTCTTTCTAACAACATTTTTCTAGCAACATTACTCTAAAGTAAATGTTTTTAATTGTATATTTACTCATTTTATTTCACGGGGCAGTACACTTGATTGAAATAAATTAAAAATTAAGAGAGAAAAATTTAAAATTATAAAATAATATGCTAAATAAATAATGTAATAAAAAAAAAAAGGAAGGCACTCTACTTTTTTTACGTTTGCACTAGAATCTTAAATTAAATGACAATTATAACTTTAATTTTACAAGTAAATGACTATTACTTTTTAAATGACACAACTATACTTTCATATTTTCCTTTCTTATCTTTAATCTTTAGTATTTTAAGTCTCTTTTGGCAAGATAAAAATATATATATATATATTTGAATAATATTTTGTTTCCAGGATCAAAAAAATATATTTATGTTGCATAAATTGTTTCTTTTGACCGGACTAAAAATAAAAAACGTAACCATTAAATTAATTATCTCTTTTGACAGGAAAAAATAAACCGCCAAAATTGAAGAAATTATCTCTTTTTTCAAGATAAAAAAAATAAAAAATAAAAAAAGTTCAGAAAAAAGAGGATTAAAATATATATATATATATATATATATATATATATATAATATATATTTCTATTGAATAAATTATTTCTTTTGAAGGGACCATAAAAAATCACAAAAAAAAAAAAAAAAAAAAACGTTACCTCTTTTTTACCCCAAAAAAAAGTCCACTTTGTTGAATAAATTATTTGTTTTGATTGCACCAAAAAAATATCACGAATAAATTATCACTTTTGACTACCAAAAATAAAATTATCAGTATGGAATAAATTATCTTCTTTACGAAGACCTTTGAAAAGAAAGTATAGCACATGAAAAAAAAAATAGTAAAGGAATTAAAGAAGGTAAAAAAAAAAAAAATTAAGTTGTATAGTATAGTTATGGCATTATAAAATAAGGCATAGTGCATTAATGAATTGAAGGATTTTCTTGTCATTTTTTTTAAAAGAAAAAGATAATTGTAGTGCAATTGGAAAAAATGGAGTGCGAATATTGTCTCCCAAAATAAATACTTGACAAATATAAAAACAAAAATATTGATTAATAATATTTTCATTAAATACAATCACAACTGTCTTTGGTATTCTCATTTTGAAGCGATTTATGAATTGATTTAAATAAGCAGAAGAAAAATAAAAAGAGAAAAAACTATTATAATTTATAAGCCAAGAAAGAAAAATTTTGAAAAAGGAAAGAAAAATTAGAGAAGGAAAGAAAATATAGAGCAATTGAAGAAGGGGATACGTGCAAACTTAAAAAAAAAAAAAGGAAATTAGAGGAATTTGAAAATTTTAGAGGGGACATTATTCAAAATTACCATATAAATATAAGCATACGACAAAAATATGTATATATATATATATATATATATATATATATATATAGTAAATTGGAGCAAGTGCAGGGCATGCCCCTAGCCTTAATTGGCTCCGCCCTTGGTTTTGGAAGAACATTCTTGCATACCACAATGAGGCTTTGTCATCCAAACTATACCCGTAAATTAGGTGTCAAATAAATATTTTATGTTATTTATAATTACAAAGATAATCACTACATAAAAATTTATTAAAGAAGGTATAAGACATGCTCGTTAGCGTTCGTTTGGAAAAACATAGAGAAAAAAAGAAAAAAAAAAATGATAAGAGAAAAGAAAAGAATTTTTACATATGTTTGGAACGAAAAAAAGAAAAAAAGTAATAGTATTCTTGTTTGAAAAAAATAATAATAATAAAAAATAAATAAAAATTATTATCAATACCATTTATAAGATGGAACTCAAGTGACATAATAAATTTATTCTTTTAATTGTTGAGAGCATTTACTAAAATTTTAAAATATTAATTTCGATGAATAAACTATCCCTTCAAATTCTTTATTTTCTCTGGCAACCCAAACAAAAGTACCTAGCCTTTATTTTCTTTTTCCTTTTAAAACCTTACCCAAACTCCGTCATTTAAACATTTGTAAACTTTAAATTGATAAATATGGGTTGACTTTCTAACGTCCGTGAATATAACACAAACCTTTCCATTTATATATATTTTGGGATAAATATGGATTTTCCATTGTAATTGAATGGACTCTGCTCGAATAGTTCAGTACATATGTGTAGATATAAAAAGTCCGTAGATTCAGAACCGCCAAGGCATCAAAGCCAGATCATTGTAAAGATCTAAATTAACATAATTGCAAGTTTAATAGATGTAATAATATAATGGCACGATCATCATGAATGATAGCTATGATTATGAAGTGTGCTCAATTCTTTGAAGCATACATTTCAGAATGTGGGGTACATATACCCATTGATTTTGATAAATGGCAACGCATGATTGAGGTTTAGTTGTCCTGTGCATGAATGATTAATACTTATTGTGGTTCAATAATACAATTTTACTTATTATTATTACTGTATTATTTCGCATAATAATGCAATTACTATTGGTTCTATCATCTTCCAAACACGTTGATCAATCAAATATTCGTAAGAGAATTTAGAGTTATGACAACACTATCAATTTATCTCCTATCAATACAAAATACTGTTATATGGACATGATGCATGGCATCCACAAGCTCACTGAATATATATATATATATATATATATATATATATATACATTTAACTTCCCAGTTACTACTACTTAGATAGCAATTACTCTGCTCTGCTTCCGCGTTCATTGATAATTAGCCCCTTTGAAAACTCACACACTATTCCATCGATGCATGACGACTTTTTTTTCATAGAACTACACAAGAATAAATTATGTAACATATTAGAGAGCTAATCACGCAATTATATTATGTTGAAGAGGAACAATAGATCCATAAGTTAGTGTCCCAGTGGATGATACTTACCAGATCAGTAGCCTTATTGAACAAATGCCAAAATGCATTAGAAGATGTAAGAGGACTTCTGTCTTCCAGATGAGGACCAGCCCGCATTGACACCCTAGCAACTTTCGTCAGTTGCTCACGAGCAAAAGGATTAAAAAGAACTATCTCATCAATGCGATTCAGCAATTCAAACCTAAAGCCTCTTTTTTCCTGCTAAATGAATCCAACAAATAGGAGAGAGTATTGAAAATTACAAAGACGCATGAATGATAAAGTAATATCCAAGTCTTGCAACCATCAAGACCACTACTTAGCTCTTTCTATTTGTTACTTACCTGTTCAGAAGCATCATCCCAAACACCACCTTGATCAGGATGCCCAACAAGTCGCGAAAGAATTGCCTTGTTTCCCAGATCCGAGGTAAAAATGACAATAGTATTTCTGAAGTCTACTGCATGTCCTCCACTGATACTACTATTTATACTACCATGATCAAGGATTGAAAGTAAAGCACTGAAAACGGACATGTGAACCTTTTCTGCCTGAGAAAAGAAAAGGATGCTGTGCGGCCTCATTCTGACAGCCTCTAAAAGTGACAAATCACATTGCTCATGGCCATGACTATACCAGAATACCATAAAAGTGATCAGTAATAGAATGATTGTACACAAGTGTAATATAAACAATTCAGACAACCAATTAACAATAACAAAGAATCTTACTATGGAAGTAGTTCCAACGGGCCATTTAAGAACTGGGAAAGTGAAGCTGATCCTGGGTATTCAGACAAGTCAATTTTAATAAGCAGGTTCATCTCATCATCAGCGACAAGATGCTTGACAAGACAGTCTACTAGATCAAATTCACCAGCTCCCGTGAGACCCAAGAATAGAATGACATAGCAGGTCGATGAGGCAGGTCATCACGCTGTGCATCAATAGAATTCAATAGCGTCTCTACTACGACATCACTTGCCTGATGTTGTCCTACCACTCTTCTACTCAATCTCATCTTAAGTCCTTGCAATCTATTCTTAGAACTCTTGCTAATAAGCCTTTCCCTCAGTTTAATGTCACGGGTTTAGAGTTTCAGCACCACTTTAACTACTCTCGTACGGTATCAAGACGTTACTTCTACTCTCATAAGTACTTGGTCAGTCTAACTCCCGTGCACATCTTAGCCAACACACTCCCCTCATTCACTTACTAGTGTTGTAGTGGCCCTCGCCCTCTCCTCACTTGGCTTGCACACTCACACACACTAAGGCACTTAAGTTGGCAAGGAAAGAACACTTCTATTACTTCAAAAAATGCTTTGTACAAGGCTAGCACTCAAACTCTCTACAAGGCTCTCAAGACTCACTCCAGGATTTGATGGCTACAAAATGAAGTCCTACTCCTATTTATAGGCATCTGCATCCCTAATGGACGGCTAGGATGCATTCTAACCGATGGTGGAGATCAATCCTCTAGAATCTTCTCCCACTTCTTCACACTTCCATACTTATCTACAAGTATCTACAATATTCTAAAACTCTCCATACTACTCCACACAATTCTGGAGAATTCTAGAATATATTACACATAACTAGAATCTTCCACACAACACTAGACAACTCCGGAAGACTCTAGAAACTCCACTTGCCATACAGTTGCCATGCAGTGTTCTACTCAACGCCTGTGTGTCGCCTGCGTGGCGTAACCTCCATAGGCGGGGCGTGACATTCTCCCCCACCTATTTCCGTGACGCCCTCGTCAGGGTTTCTTCAGCTGACCCAGCCTCTCGCAAGTCATCAGTACTTGCGCATATATCCTTGGCCCAAACGTACGAGCGCCCTTCGGGATATATGAGGTCCTTACGAGCTCCATCGTGTTGACTGTCACCTCTGGACTCTTCTTCCTGCCCACGAGCGGCACCATGCATATGGCTTTGCCTTCTTCACCTCCACGTATCATCAACGCACCAAGGCATGGTAGTGGGCGCGGCGTTATTCCTGTCCATGAACTCCAACCCTAGCACCACGTCGTGGTCGTCCATCTTCGTAACCTGGAAGTCGGCCTTGCCCTTCCACCCTTGCATGCATAACTCCATCTCCTTGCACACTCTGCTCACGCGTG